CTTTTTCCAAACATTTGTTATAAAGTTATATAAATTAATATCAAACATGCAGGCTCAAAAAGACAAGTCTAAAGACTTATCCGAAATTGATGCATTGCGAGAACTAAATTCAAAGCTCGTAGTCGAAATTACTAGACTCAGAAAGGAGAGTGCTGAAATTCCTGAAATTAAAAAGAAAATATGCTGAAATTGAGGCCGAGTGCACAAAGCTGAAGGAGGTAATAAAACAAAGCACCAGGCGTGAAGCTGAGTATGTGAAACTCACAAAAGATACTACTAACCTCAAGGCCGAAAACGCTGAACTTAGAGCTAGAGTTGCGAAATTAGAACAGTCAGTTAATATTACCTCTACCGAAATAGAATATTCTAACGATACCCCCGAACAGATAAACTTACATACTGAGGATGCTTCAACTTCTGATATATCTGATATTACTTCAAATTATGATATATATCAGATGTCGAAGACTCAATGCTCCACATCACCTATTCGCACAGGGCCTAAATCGTCGGAAGATAAGGAGGTAAATGATTTCTTAGATATGAAAAGAAAATATTGCCACCACAATCAGAGAAAGGAATCGTGAGAAGAAGCTTAGATCCCAAGACTTATCTGCAGATAATAATTCATCAGAACAGTCTAATTTAACATGTGATATAAAAACTGTTACATTGGAAACGAATCCAAAAGATTCAACTGAGGTAAGTGAGGAACTTAATTGTAATGAAAAGATTGCAGAGGAAGAAACAAAGTCTTAGGTCTACGACTTATCAAATCCGAATATTTTAGAAATAAAGCTTTCTTGTTTCGATTCCAAATCATCTAATATATTACCTAACCAGGCACAAGATGCTATTATTGCGAAAAGTAATGGACTTACACCTTTCTCTAAAATAAAAATTCCATATAATCAAAAAGTAGAACAGGGCTTAAGAAGTGAGTTGTTTGAATTTATTAGGAGCAATGATCCCATGACCTTACAAACTTCGTATTCTACACCTGGCAAACAAATTTCTGGTACATTATTTCACAATAAAGATATGATATGTGAAAATGATTTAACTCCAGGTAGCTCATCTTATCTAGCGCATTTATTCAGCAAGACAGAGAAAACTGGACGAAAAGAAAAATTACAATGGTATTATTATAGTGAGGAATATGAAAAAAAGGTTTTAACTCTTAGCTCAGAAAATAATATTAGCAATCAAATGGCAAGGACACAAATTTATGATGAAATGATACAGTATCTGCCTGGAATTAAGAGAGAGTATTTGTGTAAGATGACTCAAAAGGCTAAGATTATCTATACATTGTTTAAAGGAATAGGATTGGATAAAATTGGATTAGTCTTTAGACTTGTCTTTTTGAGCCTGCATGTTTGATATTAATTTATATAACTTTATAACAAATGTTTGGAAAAAG